ATTGCTTTAAACCCATAGAAAAAACAATCAGCTGGCCATCTGTCAATGTCCCTGACAGTTTAATGGCTGTTAAACGATGGATTACACCCATCAAGATCATCGCAAATCATCATCCATCAATAATCAATTATCATCCCAGCTGATATGTTACACATGTTTATACGATTTCTGATCTTAAAATCTTACCTAAATGATTAAAACAGAAGAGAGTATTTAGTAAGTGAATTCAATTTAGTTTGGAATGACAAAAAAAAATGAAACAACAGAGACATTTAATTATTTTCTGTGATCAAATCTGAAAATTTAGAAAAATATAGAATAATGCTTAATACTGACATTTTGTTATTTCTGCCAATGGATATTTATAGAATTAGTTCATTGATTGACAAGTTATAACGACATAATAACGACATTGTAGACTGATGAAGTTTATCACGCAGAGTTGCCCTATATTATTAGTGAATCAATAGTCCAATTAGATATACAGACGGCTGAATCCTATCCCGTCTAAACACTAAGGTACATCACATAGGGCATCATAAGTACAGATCATTGGTACATATCAAATACTTCACCACTCAGTCTTGTCTCTGCTGTCTCGGTGGGTAAAATAGAGGTTTAATTCCAACAGGAATCATGTTAAGCCAGCATGCTGCACTTCATGAACCTCAATATAATATTCCTTGTTTCATTTGCCAATTTGTGTACTTCCAACATATTACAATGTCCCCTTTTCTTGTTTTCCTTAGAATTCCTTTATATATATTTCCCTCGCAAAACCCCTTTATTATGTACACCGACATTTCTTTCGACAAAAGGTGGCAATATACCAAGATTAACTGTACATTACTTGCTAAGTATATATAATTTGGGAGGAGACTCAATTTTCCAACCTCATTTTTGCAAGCAGAAGAATTCCCTTAATCTTGTTTTTTGCTCAAATTAAATTCATTAACTGTAAAGCTTAGGCAATATGATTTATCATTTTGTTAAATAGAGGTTAGTGTAAGTACCTTTTAGATATTCAAAGATTTTGCTCAGCAGTCTCACTCAGTGGCCACACAGAAAAATCATTTGATTGACAGAGAGAGCAAACTGTTCAAGCAGCACATAAAGGAAGCTATCTGGATACGCCGCAGTGGGCCAGTTCTAAATCGAGACGAGGGGACTCTCGCACATCTATGACCAAGTACTAAACAAAGGATAACTGAATCAAGAAATTTTGGTACACATATACATTGAAACAACTAATTGTACATAAGGTTACAGTGTAGCCGAATTGACATCAATTTGCGCGGTATACATATTTTACACTTTTGTGTACATATGCTTCACTGGTCATTTGTCTGATGAAGGTGACAGAATACATACCGTACTAGTCATTAAAACATCAAATATAAACACTTATTGGTTGTGCTACATGAATCTTTTCACAAAGTTTCCACTCAGGAAAAAAATGAAAATGGGTGCTAGCTGCTGCTAGGTGGCTTTTTTTCACATCTCTACACACACCTTTGTCTCCCCAACTCCCTGATTTTTCAGTGATGAATTTGGGATTACAGTCATATGATGTTTGAATTGGGAGACTTTTACATATATTTACACCCCCACACTTCCGCTCACATTTTTAAAGGATGCATGACTGTTATATAAACAGTATATTATGGTCTTACAATTCTAAAAATTAAAAAGATATTTTGTTCACAATCTTAAAAGTTCAAATATGCAATGATTTGTTTTGTGAGGCTGATTTTTGTGAGTGCCCTGGTAAAACATTGATCTGCTCTGTGATGATGATTTTGTGAGTGCCCTGGTATTAATATCAAAATTAACTGCTCCATTATACCTAAGTAAAATACACAAACATTGACAACATTGTACAACTTAAGGCAAATTAGGTACAATGGGTATTTGAGAAAAAACATCAAAAGAAAATCTATAGAACTTAAAGTAAGGTTTATTGGTAATAGAAATTTCAACTATTTAATAGCTTCCTTTTGTACAGTTTATTTTCAACCAAGTTAAAACAAAACTGTGAGAAAAAACCCACAGGCAAGACTTTTGTTTTTATTCATTTTATTTTTGTTTTAATGCCAATCTCTTATCTTTGATCTAGAAAACTGAAGTTTAGGTGTTCTCCTTATAGTCAGATCGCAGATAGTTAAATATGACCAAATATTTGCCTGAAGTCATTATCAAATAGTTATAGAAAGCGAGGAGAGTTTAGTAAACAAACTAATCCCTTAGAACCTGTTTTTAAACATTCAAATGTCATTCACTCTTAAGTGTTTCCTTTCCCTTACATTCAGACAATGCTTTTACCTAATCTTGTATAAATCCTGTTTATAGCCAACAACACCACAACATAAGTCATCTGATTAAACTACAGGGCATAGTTTGACACCCACTATTTGTCAGTCTGATCAGATAAACTGATCATTCTTAAACTCCATAATGTTCAAGTTATTGTGTCAACATAACCAGTCCCACAGAAATGAGTATTTGAATAAAATATCAGACACAGAATACTGTCTATACCTATAGTGAGTGTTTAATTGGCAGTCTTATTTTCATGCCAGAACAAAAAGTGTAATTCAGGCATTATGAAATTGGCAGTTTTGACATGAGGGGTCAATCATGTTTGTTTTTTTATATTTCTATATTTGTGCTCATGAAGGAATCATCTGTGAGTTAATAAATGGTTCAACAAATTACATCTATGCCTGAACGACATGTGATATTTTAATTGGCTTTACATTTTTTTTTTTTAAATAAAATGAACAATATGATATACAGTGTATGCCAGGCTTGCTTTTTCTTATATGTAATCCAATGATCATTTTCATAAAGACAGTATTTATCTTGCAAAGAGCCCAGGGGGTGGGGGTGGGGTGGGGGGCTTAACACATATTCACCCACTCAAAGTAACGGGTGGGCTTATTACTGGACAAAGAAATGTGGGCTAATTACCAGGCATGAGCAAACTGCCTACAAATAAAGTAATAACAAATTAGTAATAATAAATTGAGAGTTCATATTGGCCGTGTGGAATTTACAGTTCCATCTACTGAAAAAGCATGAAAATCAAACCACTGCGAAAGTTATCTTTTAATGGAAATGGTCTTTCAAGGGACAGAACTCAACATAAAGCTAAGTATTAACGCTGTATTCTTAACAACCAATATTGTAATAACAACCCAGATCTAAGTGTGTATACCAGTTGCGTTTCCAATGCATACTTTTCTGCTAGCTGTAGACAGCTTAGTTTTGATCAGTGTCTAATTTTATTTACTCATCTTGAGAAAAATGTCTCCATATTTTTTAGACTACATGTATTCAATAATTAGATTAATGACGGTTGACATTTTGACAAAACAAATATGGCTCTACTTTCAGCTCTCACAATATTAGGGTAAGTAGATATATAAGTAGGCAAACCATTCTGATGTGCCAAAATATATTCTTGAAATTTTGACTGATATAAAGTTCCAGAAAAAATTCAAGAATTTTGAATTAAAAAGAATCTTTTGCAACAAACAATGTATTACAAACGTACCTGCTGAATGACTAGCAGACAATGTTATCTGATACATTTTAGGAAATACAGGTTTCAAGGTCAAAAGACAATGATGTACATGTACAAATAAGTGACCCACCAATATAAATTTAACCTTGTCTTCTGTCATTCTGACATCTGTAAATGGCATAGAAATTGAACAGACCAAACAATCCAATAAATGTTTCTAACTTGTAGCCTGTATTCTTACAACCGTGACTGTCTGACACATATATATTATACTTCCACTTGTTTATTTCTTATTCTTTATATAGCTTGTGGCCAATTAATGTCAAGGTTTTTTCATGAATAAAGATATTTACCATCGAGTCACTGAATCGAATTTGTTAAAATGATCAGAACATGTTGATAACTACCTGTAGACATAACTTACCACAATCTGTACATCAGCCGTTAAATGAAAAAGGCATGGCGACAGTTACAAGATTGTGTAGTTGAGGCTTTTCAATTCCATGTCTTTTGATGAGTGTTTTAGTCTACCTGATGATGTGCAAATTTTGCATGATTATCATGATTAGAACTATACTGAAGCTATCCCCAGTGAAAGTGCTCAGCTCCTTTTCAAATATGGGAGCTGGGTCCAATAAAAGCAAGAGATTAATTTGGTTACATATAAAGGGAAATGAAACAAATATGTACATAAACTGGTTTTGATTAAAAGCAGGGTAAACACAGTTAACCATTGGTGCCTATATAAAACTGTAAATCCTCATGATTATAAACGAACAAGTTTTAACAACTAGTCTTTAGCATTGTCATCTTGTCTAGCAGATTCTTTAGACTGTTAAGTCAGAGTTGAATTAATGCTGGTGTATTTTCATGTATTATCTTCTTCTTTCTTCTTATGGCTTTTTCTGGTGCCATTCATTTTGATGGTCATCCAAATATTTTGTTTGGTCACAGGATTACAAAATGTGATGGATATGTACAGTGATCACTGTGATGTCTGTTATAGCAGGACTCACTACATTAATATCCTATATATAACAATTTACACAGCATAAAATGATGTAGTATTCAGTTGTATATGGAAAACATTCTGCATCCTCACTAAATATCCAACTCATCATTGCCTTGTCATGTACATTTAACCTTGACCTTAAATAATTCTGACACTTGTGACCTTGACATTAATGTCTGAACATAATGTCTGAACATAGACTGTTACTGGACTGCGGGATGATTTTGATGGACATCAAAGAATCAAACTAGTCCTTTTGCCTCAACCACAAATTAAGTGGCACACACTGAGCCTTCAATTTTGCTATGATATAAATGCCAAGGGTGCAGAAAGTGAATGTGAGTGTAACACATGGAATATTGAGGAAGATTTTACACACGTTCAGTATATCTTTAATTTTACCAAAATGCCAAATGCGGATGTGATAAAAACTCATGATTATTTTTGTCAATTTTTTATTACCTGGTGAGAAGGTGTGGTGAAAATGAGGCTGGATTGTCTTGGTGCTGGAACAATGGCATCTGTCCATCCATCACCCATACTCGGAACAGGAGGAGGCCTACACCCTGGGGGCAGATGAGACAACAATTAATCTTTCAAATCACTTTTAAATCTAAAATTTAAAAAAAAAATGATAGGTCAATTGACTTACAAATATCAATGAGAAGACTGACTCAAATCGTGCACTGTGCAAGACTGAAAATAATTTCACAGTTAGCACGACTGAAACAAATCTTACATACTCATTCAGCATAATTAAATCACACTGAAGAGCAACTCAAACTTCATTCCTGAGCTAGCTACTTGAATTGTAGACTGGTTCAAGTCTCATATTGACAGAAAACAGACTTTAAATCTCACAAATACAATGACACCAAACTTGTACTTTATTTGCAGTTCTTGTCATTAATTATGACAAATGATCTTTAGATAACTGGGCATTATCTAGAAAAACAACTCTTCTCTATTTTCTGTCTAGACTGGGGTGATAGTAAAGTCAATAACACAGAAGTACATGGTTTAGCCAGATATTACGCCAGCTTCAGAGTAGCTAGTCTACTGGCGGGTTCATTGTGTTTGGTACACTTACTGTATTTCAGAAAGTACTATACAAACCAATGGTAGAAATGCAATCCTTCATGAATGCAATTACTTCTTGTACAGTATAGCCATCATGCATTAGTACAAGGTCTGATGTACTAAAACATGGAATTATTTAATTTTAAAAGATCGATGATTTCAAATGAGTTCTCCCTGGTACAATACCTTGTGCTAAGACTTGCTCAGAGTCTTTGCTGAATCAATTCTCCTCCACATTTTTAATATTTTTCTCTTGTATTATTTCTAAATCTTAAAATTATATTTCCAATCAACAATATCAATGCCAACTTATAAAGGATTGCCAAAACTTGAAATGAAACAAAACCCTTTTTATAGGAAATACATGTAACTGATATAGACTTATGATATCATGTTGGGCATACATTTCCTTAAAGGTTTCATGAACTATGTTCAACACAATCTCACTTAGAATTGCTGTATATCCTGACCTTATCTAAAAAGTTGAACTTTTGAAGATGAAAAAAACTGTATTGAAGTCAAGACAGTTTATATAAAGGAAGGAATTTGATATGCATGAGAATATTTATCTTGTCATAGTTAAAGTTGTGCTCTTTCTTTATGTGCAGAAAATGTTTACCCTGCTGTTGAACACCAACAGGCAACAGATGACAAGAGTTTTGCCAAAAATAGAATTAAATGATTGCGCTGAATTAAAGCTTAACGGAACAATAAAACACTACATACAGCCAAGGTAATTAAGAGAGTGTTTGTTACGTAATGTCTCTGCCTGGTGATAATCGGTGTCTACCATGGTACCCTAGGATTCTTGTTTAATCAAACTCTATTTATTTGAATTACCTGCCAATAAAATCTATTGATTTCACATGCAGCTATTGATCTGTATGTTTAATCTAGAAAGTTATAACTTTTCATGCTATGATTCTTTCTAATTTTAGATTTTTCAAGAGCAAATTTGATACATGGTGTTGTGTAGAATTGGGTTCTTAAAATTCTCCACCAGGACAGAAGAAATCACAGGTACTGGCCATCTTTTTATAGGGATTGCTATTTTATTAAGGAATCCTTATAACTATGCATATATATAGCAATTTGTAGCTGCAGGATGCAACTGCTTACATTAAAGTATAGCATTATGTTTTATTTTTGTGAGATAAATTTTGGTGTTTATTCATAAGGAGACTCACTTGTAAATTTGAATTTTTCAAAAACATGAATTTCAAAGATTATAAACTAGAATTTTGTTTTTGTGAACAAAAACATGTCTCCCCTTACTAGCCAATAGAAAAACTCTGGTATAAAAAAATAACAAAGGGCAATATCGCTTTATATAGTGGGGCACGAGACCCAAATTTAGAATTTGACACTCATACATTAAAAATTTATCAAGTTTGGCCAACGTAGCTGAAACTAGAACACTGACAGGTCAGTAAGGGCCCCGTCTTGTGGCAATATATCCCCCATAATCATCAAGAAGCAATCTGCCCATACAGCTAAGCTATACTCATTTGTTAGCTTTGATTTGTTTTATTTCACCTTAAATACCTCCCCCATCAAGAGCCAGGATCAAAGTAAAAGATCCAGTGACCCTGATCTTTGGTCAGTTAAATCATTCTTCAATTCCGACCAACTTAACTTCATAATAACAAAATGTTCATCAGTGAAAAATACAAAACTTGACCTTGACCTTGAACCTTTGGAATCCATAACCTTGACCTTTGGTCAAATGACTCCTTGTTTGATTCCGATCAACTTTGCTTCAAAGTGTCATAACAAAATGTTCCCCAGTGAAAAGATACTGAATTTGACCTTAACCTTTGACTCAGTGACCTTGACATTAAGTCAGTTGACTCTTTGTTAAATTCCAACCAATTTTGCTTCATAATGTCATAACAAAATGTTCATCAGGGAAAAGATACAAAATTTGACCTTGACCTTTGACCCAGTGACCTTGACCTTTGGTCAGTTGATACCTTGTTTGATTGTGACGGACGGACAGATGAATAAGTATAGGGCACCAGCATCTTCAATGCGGGGCCCTAATAACATGGAAGTTATGCCATGGACAAACTTAAACAAAGGGCTACAACTCTGTATATAGTGATGTACGAGACCTAATTCCTGTGCACTTCACACCTTCTGTGAGTGACGCAGGTATACTTCAAGTTTGATTAAGATATCTTTAATGGTTTAGAAGTTATGTTGTGGACAAACTTTGGTATTAAAAATAAACAAAGGGCAGTTACTCTGTATATAGTGGGGCATAAAATCTGATTTTAGTGTGAGAAATTCCGCCTTCTCAAGATACATCAATATGGTAAGTACGGTCAACGTAGGTGAAATAACATTGAACTTATGCTCTGGACAAACTTAGGTAATAAAATTAAACAAAGGGCCATAACTCTGTATAAAGTGGGGCACGAGNGTTCTGACCAACAATGCTTCAAAGTGTCAAAACAAAATGTTCAGCAGTGAAAAGATACAAAATGAAACCTTCACCTTTGACCTTGACCTTTAGTCAAATGACTCCTTGTTTGATTCTGATCAACTTTTCCTCAAAGTGTCAAAACAAAATGTTCCCCAATGAAAAGATACTGAATTTGACCTTAACCTTTGACCCAGTGACCTTGACATTAAGTCAGTTGACTCTTTGTTAAATTCCAACCAATTTTGCTTCATAATGTCATAACAAGATGTTCATCAGGGAAAAAATACAAAATTTGACCTTGACCTTTGACCCAGTGACTTTGACCTTTGGTCAGTTGATACCTTGTTTGATTGTGATGGACAGACAGATGAATTAGTATAGGGCACCCGCATCTTCAATGCGGGGCCCTAATAACATGGAAGTTATGCATGGACAAACATCAGTATTAAAAATAAGCAAAGGGCTACAACTCAGTATTTAGTGACGTACGAGACCTTATTCCTGTGCACTTCACACCTTTTTTGAGTGACGCAGGTATACTTGAAGTTTGATTAAGATATCTTTAATGGTTTAGAAGTTATGCTGTGGACAAACTTTGGTATTAAAAATAAACAAAGGGCAATTTCTCTGTATATAGTGGGGCATAAAATCTGATTTTAGTGTGAGAAATTCCGCCTTCTCAAGAAACATCAATATAGTAAGTATGGTCAACGTAGGTGAAATAACATTGAACTTATGCTCTGAACAAACTTAGGTAATAAAATTAAACAAAGGGCCATAACTCTGTATTTAGTTGGGCACGAGACCTAGTTCCAGCGCACTGCACATTTTCTGTGGGTAATGCAAGTATACGTCAAGTTTGATTAAGATATCTTTAACGGTTCGAAATTGACGGTCCGGACAGGAATTTACTGAAAATGTGCACTTATTTGACCTTTGACCTTGAGGTGAAGGTCACAGTGACCTAATTTCAGTGCACTGCACACCTCCTGTGAGTGATGCATGCATACCTTAAGTTTCATCAAGACATATTTAACGGTTTAAAAGTTATGGCCCGGACAAGCCAGAAGTAGAAGAAGGATAAGAAGAAGAAGAAGAACCAGTACTAACACAATATGTCTCCCTTCAATTTAATTGCTTCTTCTTGGCTGGTGGTATTATTTGATGTATTCAATGTTCTCCTCAATCAACCCCAGATTGTAATTTATTTATTTACTCCTTTTTCATTTTCATTTTTTCACATTTAAACACATTATTTTTATTAAATCAAATTTTAAACAGAAAAGAAAACAGGCAATTCGTTAATTAACCCATTCATTGTAAAAAAAATACCCGATACCTTGATTACCACTTCAAATAGCTATAATAAGTCTGAGTCGTGACAGGCAACAAAAACCTACGAATGTCTTATTGCGACTGGATCGTATCAAACAGTAAAGAAGAAACTGTTCTAAAAGAAATACAACGCCTGCATTTATTTGATGAAATATGTAATTCTGCATTTCAGAAGTTGAATTGTAGCTTACCACTGAACATAAAAGTCCGGTCCTTTTCACAAGTGGTACACATCCATCACATAACTTTCTTCCTTCTAAAATCCTACAATATATATAAAAAAAGTTTTATTACAAATGTGATAAATTGGTAAACTGAACATGACATTTTCATCAAGGAGAAAAAAAGTGATTGTATAACGTCTGTCTACAGCAGTGCTCACTGTTCCACACGATAAGTCTGAACACAAGTTAAAATGTCAAGGTCTAAGGGATTGTGACCTATTAATAAGCAGGTCCCCAATATTAATTGTGAAAACTTGATTAGCAAAATTATTTATTTATGTAATTTTTTTAAAATGTGATATTTGAGAAATATCTGATTATTAACAAATATTTTTGTTTCACCTGTCTTCAGTCACAAGACATTTTAATTCATAAACAAACAAAAGGTTTTAGCTCCAATATTTTTCATTAGATATACTTTTACATGAAACCAATGTGTGAATTTCTTAATAAGCTCATCAGGCTTTTAATGTAAAGCTTAATTGTTACTCAGAGTGAAGGACTTAACCAGATTTCATTTTAATGGGGGGAGCACAACATATTGTTTCCATTGATTTGAATATATAATGTACTGTATATATTTATGCAGCATTAACTGTGGCACCTAGTAAGTAGTAAAACTGTGGCACCTAACATAAGTCACCTATCAGGTATATTTATTTTGATTTACTTTTTTCATCATTTCATTAACATCAAGGCAGTGTATTTACTGTATTCACTGTAATTAGCACCTAACACGATCACGCTTAAAATATTGGCTTAAAGGGGGGTGGGGGTGGGGGTGGGGGGTAATAAGGATCATAAAATGCAAAGTATGATAGAAAAAGTTGAGCAACTTCAACCCGTCATTATCACCACTGGACATTATAAACATTCCAGTGTGGCTGGAAGTTCTAAAATACAATTATCATGTTTCATGTTCCTTGGGAAGTCTAGCCATGAGCACCAGACATAGTTATCAAATCTCAACCTTAAAGTGTAAATACAAATGTACTATTAATCACTGACTAGGCCTGGTCAGGTCTGGGATGGGGTCTATATAGCTTTGATTTCTCTCGAGATAGGGAAACGGGCACTTTTAGGGGGAGGAGCGCAAATTACGGAGAATACGGTACTTGCACATAATCCCTCCCCCAGAATACAAATATCTCTTCATTCTCTGTAACCATCACCATATCCTAAGAATCTGCTTCTCTCTTATTAATGATGATGTCAATTTCATTACGAGAGTTTCAAGTTATATGTATCGACAGGAAGCAGTAGATAATATGCACATTTTAAAGTTACATTTAGTACTACATCAGGAAAATTGGTTTTACCAAAAAAAATCAATTTATACAGCATGTTATATTATACATTGTGCAAATTAAATTCGAGTTTTTGTTAGCAGGTATGTTAGAATCTCTAAAGAATACAGATCCAGTTTCATGTGCTATACAAATGTGGTGGTCTTTTGTTAAGAGATAATGAATATTGCCAAGTAAAATACATAACATGAAAAACTTTCCTCACTGAGAAAAATGACATCTGATTTAAAACTGTTTTGGTTCATAAATTTCAACCTTTAGCCCTTAAACTTCCAATTTAGAAAAAGATAAATCACAGCTTTTTTATAAATCTACATATATGTATATAATATTTCTGCACATTCATTTAGCACTGTATGTGTAATATCAATTCTATTTCACACCTGTACATTAGGGTGATATTAGCTAATTAACCTATCATCACAGCATTAATGTATGCATATAGGTTCACAAAAATATTCAAGTTAATGGTGCCAAGGTAGTCATTATTTTGCAATAATCAAGATTTATAATATGTTGTTAAACATGTTTTGCGTCTTTCTTTAAATTAGTTAATTTACTCAAAGTTCATATAACATAATATTTTCATAACAATCATTTTGAATCACTGGGTGTGAGAATGTTTTTTTACAAATAACATCATTTATACTAGTCCGATTTATTCTGACGTTTGATCAAATTTTTTCATATCGGTTTGTCGTCGATTAACGTCAGAACTCCGGTCCACTATAATATGCGAGAAGCGCACTTCGAACTGATATTTTAGGAACAAATTGTCACTTTCACACACATGATGCACATTAGAGAGCCTGAGTTCTGACGTTAATCGACGACAGACCGATATGAAAAAAGTCAATAAAACGTCAGAATAATTCGGACTACATTTATACATGCATGTTCTTTTACTAATGACCTGAACACAGTTTTGAGTGAAAAAATATAACCACATACACCAAACTACATAATATAAGTGACTCAATGTTTTCTAAAGAATTCTCATGTGGCAAGATATTTGCTTCCTATCTTTTATACATCGAACGGTGGTCATTTGAGGTCCAGATCATATCTACTTTGCTTACAGTTTTGATAATTATTAAAAAATCATCAGCTCAATTTTTCCCTTAGCCAAGAGGTCCATTTAAGGCTGTAAGCTTGGTACAATGTGATTCAGACTGGTCTTAATTGATTAAGAATCATTAATTTTATATCTATTTAATGCTTTATTCACTATTATTTCCAGAAACCACAGAAAGATCGGGGAATGTTGCTGGTGTATAGAGGAAGAGGTTATTTTCTCTTCTTTTTTCTTATCTAACAAGCAAATGTACAGGTATCACAGCTAGGGGTCATGCAAACCAAGCTTCAATTCCTGTCAATCTCAAATTGGAGCATGCACAATTGGGAGCAAAAAGGACCACAATTCCTTTCGTAATTTGAAATTGAAAATATAAATACCTTGTTTTAAAAACAAGAGAAAAATAAAAAAAAAAATAAAAATCTGGCAGTAAGCCCATGCCTGTCAATAAGCCCATGCTTGTCAATAAGCCCACCCATATGTATTGCAGTTCAGTAGAAATGCCAACAAATGGTTTGTCAACATTGTCCTGTAATAAGCTTACCCACCTTTTTTTCATTCAAAAGTCATGTGTCCACCCCCCCCCCCCCCC